ATTGTTCCACCATACCACTCCTTCGGCACATCTCACAGGTACAAGCGCATTCTACCACCACTATTAAAATAGCTCCATATCGCCCCACCCTGAGGATCTACTCCCACTACTGCTACCCCAGATATTACTTCAACCAAGGGTAATCATTGAGCCATATAGTGGCCATTCCTGCATAGGGTAAAAAACTAAGCAGACAAGTGATTGCTCATACCACACCGACAACAACTTCACCCTTGGGCCCTTCCCATGATGTTCTTTCGCTCAATAAACAGCTGACCGTAGTTATACAAACCACGATCATCCACCTATTTCACAAGGGATGATCTCCAACTCGAACATACCGCTCTACCATATTATTATCTCCTTTCGTCAATATACGGACGCGACCGCTCTCCTCTTCGTGAACCTGCTATGTTCACTTTCCTCAGCTGCTAAGCTCAGGAGGCTATATACGAACTAGGATAGAAGCGTTCAGAAACCAACGAAAATTTTTCCCCAAACTTCCCCTACCGATGCATTCACTCCTCTCGCCTATTACCCGGTACTCACATTGACAATTCGGTGAACGATGGGGATATCGCGACCATCAATAGAGAAGACAGACACGTCACCTGCAGAGACATGTGTGAAGACAGCGAAGCAATTCAAGAAGAGTTTACCGGGTTCGAAAGGATCCTGTGTTTTTAGTGTTAAAAAAAGTATATCTCCTCTGTGAAAGCCAGGCTCCATCGAGCCACTGATGAAGCGTGATGAGTTCGAAGCGCCACCTTTTGCATTACCTCAATACCACAACAATGGGACTTTCTGAGCCCGTGTATAGCATGATGCCTTTCCATAGCATCAGGGCTGAGAATACCACACATGCCAAGTTCAGAGTTGACGTGAAGAACTAAAGGGAAGGAGATGCTCTTGATGGAATCCAATTCATCAGTTCAGTGATATACAGAGTCACCCAGGAGCCTAGTGAACACTACTAAGAGGCCAGGAAAAGCTCCGCTAGTGTTCTGCAGTACAGTTTTCAATGGCATCGAGGCATTCACAGTGTCGATACGATATGTGAAACTTGAAGATGACACATTGTAGACTCAGTCTACATTGTGACACAATTCTCAGTCAATTCTCAGGAATCTCAGTCTACTAGACTGAGATTCCGAGCTATATAAGGATCAATCATTGGGACAAGGAATGATCTGCCATTTCGATGCTTCTGCCCTTAGAACCACCAACATGGCAATTAACACGATATAGTCTCCGTTAATGTGTGGCATTAAGTAGAAGGTCAGATTCCCATGGCCTCACTCACCCTTCTCGGATTATGCAGTACCGATTTGAACTCCTCCGCATACACTCCCAACATGTTGCCGAAGGATGAATAATGAGCGAAAAAGAACTTTTAAAGAGCTCATGCGGACAGCCAGATCTCGCGAAACTACTTTTCACCACTCAGGAAATATAGCCCGATCCCACTTCAATTTTCTGTATATAACCCGAACAAACCCGAAACGATATCATCTGAAGCAGTTGTGAATGGACAGTTTAGTTGCTGCTTATGAAAGGATAATGTTACAAATAAGAACTCACAAGTATCGTGAAAAGGGTAACACACACCTCAATGAGATGTACAATCTCGTGACACATTCTTGCGCCACTTGGTGTGAAGTCTCGGGATTCGAATGCTGATTCGATGCAGCTGATTCAGTGTGATGTGAGCGTCGTTGAGTAGTGTCCACCCGATGCTGTATCCCATATACACAACCTAGCTCAAGCATGTGATGCTACGGAGGCAAGATACTGATTAAAGCTCAATGCATCACAGTCCTTCTGTACATTTCGAATCGAAGCCACATATATTTTAAAGATCTAATTCATTTTCGATACCATCAATATCGTCGGAACGCGCGAAGTTGGAGGTACGACTCCGAAACGGGAAGA